GCCGTGTTCGCAAACGAGGACGCAGACCGAGTTGCATTCAATCGATCAACGATGTTGGATGCAGGTTGAGGTTGAGCACGGTCGACAAGCTAAGCTGCCACGCTAGCGTCTGGTGGGGGCATTCCTTGTCATCTGCCTGCGAGCTCCCCAGATATTCGTGAACAGGGACAACAGCCGTCATGTAGTTGAAGACCTCTGTCCGAAACATATCGTGTGCTTTCCGTTGAGCAGAATATCACAATGGTAACAGGGCGAGACATGAACAGTCGATATTGACATACGTCATCGCAGAAGCTACATCCCGTCTTCGGTAAGCTACATAGTGTTTCGCTTGCTGTTCCCCAGCCCCTTCATGAGCCTCTTCATCTCTTTGGTCGTAGCGAACGCATCCGACTCGATCAAGGTGTCCCGCCTCCCGCCACTTTGCGCCTTCTCCGCGTCACCCTCCGTGCCTCCACTGAGTAGATGCAATCCGGTCAAAGTTCTGCATGTCCGCCCGTTTTCCGCCGCGGTCATGGGTTGCTCGGAAATGATACCTGGAAGGCAGCGTGCAATCAGGGGCTTCATGACGAGCAGTGATCCGCAGATGATGGCCACGTTGACCTCGATAGTCGAGAAGATTATAGCGTAGGTACCCGCTTCTGCAGTCGTGTTAGCGTCCACTTGATATGGGAGCTCGCGAGGCCGTACTTGTGACTTCACCGTCATTCGCTGCGTCATGTACCAGCACTAATCGTAGGAGTGTTATGATGCACACGCTGGAATCGAAGTCAGTCGATACCTTCTCAGCACGGGGAATAAAAGGACACACAATCCACCAAGCCCAAAGACTGCGACTAGTCCGAGCTTCTGCCGACTGGGCAAATTCAGCTTCCCAATTGCAGGAATAGGCAGAACCCAAATGGAGAAGTCGAGTACAAGACCGATGATGCTCGTTGACCAGAAGTGGTTTTCTTTGTTCATGCATGTGCCTGATAGCGTGACATTCCAGTAACTCTGCACAGGCTCGCAGAGAAAGATGTTACCGAAGATGCCCCAAGCCGTGGCACCGAAGACCAGAACGAGAAGCACATTACAGACCCAGACGATCTGAGGAATTACCAGGAAGAGACGAAGATATTGTACCAGAAATGAGGCTTTGACAAGGTTACTTGCCAGGTGGTAGAGGATGGTCTGGGCGAGAACGAGCTACAAACAGTCAATGGTGGACGAAGCCCAGAGAGTATCACGCACCTTCAGCATAGCAGTAAGCGAGGGTGATTCAGGACCTCCTTGCTTCAGATCCTCTCCGTCGATGCTGAACTCTGTGTTGCAATCAGCTTTTGCTTCATGCAATGTTCAATTGGGTGTCTTGCCTCCAGCAACTACGGCCGCGAATCCGATAGAGAATACCTGCGAGAATCAGAATATAGCTTTGAACAATGCCTAGAATGCTCGTGTGTTGTTACCATGGCTGCTGTGACGATGTAGTCTTCCGAAGCAACTGCAGTTGATCTGCACCACACTCGGCTGCACCATCGCAAACCCACCACAAGTGAGGCAAGCGCAGTGAAGATCACAGTAGGAATCAAAGTCTCATATCGTATATCCGCTGTTGCTTTAGATCTCAGGATAAACCAACTTGGAGATTGATCGTGCATTTGGAGAGGAAATGATGAGGTCGTTGAGTAGATTTCAAAATGAGCGCTTTCGGGCGTTTGTAGACCGGCACGGCGATTGTCTTCTGCAATAAGTGTCCGAAGTCATCAGCCGCATTCCTTTGTGGGCACATGCAAACGCGGCCTGGACCAATCTACATGTTACTGAGGGGCACTGCAATTCTGGTCGTTATGATGCCGTAGACCCACTGCGATAGCTCCTCGCCACTTATAAGCTCAGCTGAGTGGTGAACCATGGTACCTAGGTACTGAGGTACTGTGTACGCGGGAGATAGAACAAAGATCGTTCGGCACCTCAATTCAGAAGGTAGTTCAGAATATACATAGCTACTTTTCAAGACAACGAAAGACTAAGGCGAATTCGTTGCGTGGCGATCATCGATCATGAGATAGCCGTTGTATCAGAGTGTGGTTCACTAGTGGATCGGGCCACGCTGAGTCGGAATACACAGACTGGATGATATCATCTTGATGTTTACTCATTCTTTCCATGAGACCGCCGCGGTGTGTAAACAGAACTCGCAAATAGGTAGTGGGTACATAGAAGCAAACGCCAAAGACCGCGTTCACACCGCATTTCATGATACTCGCGATGACTTGGTCCCATTCTGGAGACATTGTGTGAAAAGTTGCAGCGCATTGCATCATGTACATATGTAAAGAGCACATTGGTGGAGTGTAGCAAAGTAAAAAACGAACGCTGCGCATAGTGAAGGGTCTTCACGATGTCCAAAGGGATACTTACAATGACACCTTCAAAGGGGGCGCACATGTAAGGGTACACTTCAGCATGTTGGCTGATAGAGATCGGTCCGAATATCTCTTGGAGGCTTGGAGGCTTTTACGCTAGGTGCTGTCAATTGTCATGTGTCGGACACTATCTGGACCGAGTGTACTTCTAGATGTGCATGAAGTATGGCCCCTTAGCGGCTTAACAGCATGGCGGCCGCGTTGACAGCTAGGTAGGGGACCTCTTTTGAGATGGCTTCGACTGACACGTACCGGGTCTTGTTGCCGACACGACATGGGGTTTGACGTCAGATCCAAAAGGAGTTGAGTGTAAGCATAGGCTCGGTTGCAAAGCATTCGAATCGATTAGCCTCTTCTTACACACTGCAGTGGCATCGGAGCGGCACGTCCACGTGGAGTGTTACATCGGTATGATGCCCATAAACCGATTCAGAGATCACAGGCCGCCTACAGTTGGTGGAATCGGGTATGCCCAGCTTGTAGGCGCACAGCTGTTTACGGATTTGTCACTGTGGGATGCCTTAGTCTGCGCCCCGTGTAGGATAGGATCTTTGGTGGCTGCCTGGGTGGAGCCTTCCCAGGCTGACTGCGGTGAACATGTGATAAGCGGTGTGCGCTCTGGGGTGATGCTCTATTGCCTTGCGTGCTTTTGTCACCAAGATGCGGAGAAGAGACTATGACGGTAGAAGCTCTTGGGGCAGATTGCGCATCCGACCGGGGACCCACCCTCTTACAAAGGACCTCGCGGGCCGTGTAGCATGCAGCTGGCCCTGAGATGTCTTTGCCGTTAAGGTAGTCCTTTCATAAGGATTGCTTTACCAGCCGAAAGTGCACGATCATCGTCAACACCAGCGGCTGAGGCGCTTTAGACACCGGACATAGGCACGTTCGCGGACCGAGCTTCAGAGAACATGCAGGTGCATGCGAGATCGTTAAAGTTGCGTTTCGAGAAAGTGAGACCGGAGGAACTAGTAGCCGTTAGCGTCGAATTCGCGTGAGGAATTTGGAATAAACACCACCAGACTGTCGGTAAGTCAACACTCCATGTCGCGTATGCACCGTATGAGATTGGCGGTTCCCGAGGCTCCGGGATTTGTCAAGCAACACACGATTTTCGCCCTCGTGGCATCTAGCAGACCCTTATGCGAAGCAGGCCCATCCATGTCGCTCTGTTGCGATTGGTCAGATCTCGAAGAATTTCGTATCGCGATTGGATAGAGGTTGTTTCGCGACGATCTCCCGCGCGACTCTGCGCGTCTGCACTCTGATTACTGTGTCATTGACGACAACAAGGTTGCCATTCTTATCACAATGTCGTAAATTGGAAATTTGGTCCATCATCCTGCAAGCCCTAGTCGTAATCGTGCCGGAGCACGTTTCGGAGTTCAGCATGGTATTCTACTTTGGGGATTTGTTATCGTTCGCATCTTGCTTGACAAATTATCCCCAGGCCTTATATGGGTCGCGAGTGTCCACGTTTCCAGCACACCACAATGTCTTCTTCTGCTACAAGCTCAACTGGCTCTCAGTCTTCGTCCACTTCTTCTCCAAGAATCATGGCTTCTACCACCCACCATGCGTCGTCACATCCTTTCCTAACACCTGCACACGCCTCCGACATATCATCATGGACGTCTTCATTACCCAGACCCCAATTGTGTGCGTCGACAGAGTCACATTCCGAACTTCAGTCCCAGGAAGAAGCTATCGAGGCCTACCGACAAATGAAAGCTGCACTGTTTTCGAGAGCCATGAGCCCTAGCATATCCAAACCCGCCTGAGCATCTTGCGGGAGGGGCGGTTCCCCACGGCATACCATAAGCCAACCCACACATACTACTGAGACGACTTACGTTTAACGACCAATGGCGTCATACGCCGCCTTGTACCTGGAGGCTGGAACCTCGACGATACCCTAATGGCACGGAGCGTTGCTAGCGCAAACGACGGAGATACTGGTGGTCTGAGGGCCAACATATGGTGACGACGCCATATGGTTAGCCCAGATTCATTCTTGGTGGACATTGCAGTCCGGAACGTCCTCATGGTTCGAGGCGTAGGGCGACGCTAGAATATCACTACTGTTAATTCACGGCTCTTCAAGAGTTCTCGAACATTTGGTTCCACGTCATCGCATGCTGTCCAAGTCTGGCCCATATTGTGATCCGTCTCTTGTACACCGATGTACTCCCTGGCCTAACCGCTGCATACCCAGGCGCGTTCGTGCCCTGCTTTGCGGGAGCCGAAGTCGTGTAGTCTATCTGAGATCTTCTGAGATACTGTGCACACCACTCGAAACTAACCCTGGTGCTGAGACAAGATCGAAATCGCGCCAAAAGAGGCTCTGAGGAAGCTAGGTTGCGATATTGCAGGTGCTCAGGATCGGATGCGTGAAACGGCAGAGCTACATAATCGGCTTGGCACTTGGGCATGGCCTTATCGATAGGCCGGTAGGCCCGTGCGTCAAAAGTCCGCCGAACGCGACTCTGCGCGTTCGCAAACGAAGACACGAACATTACAGCCCAGCCAACCCTTCGCGGCGATACCGATATCGTAGCCAATCACAATATGTCTGGAAACACGCCCAAAACAATGTCCAAGGGACTGATGGGGATGAAGGTACGGGGGTCACTACTGGATTACCCTAGGAATACGCTGAACGCGAGTAGTTTATGCAGCGCGCGGCCGCGAAATCTTCGCCCTCGACGCCCAATGGCCCGCCTAGCAAGAAATCACGCCTTTCGAATGGCGCAGCTGCTGTAGGAACCTCGGATCACGACATTATACAATCAGGCCTGGATGCGGAAGAAGCGAAGCGCCAGGCGGCCCTAGACAAGGCTGCGCAACATGCGGGTGAGACAAAATGGGTGTTGAGTTTCAAGGACCCTCTTGAAGGAAAGAGACAAGATGCAATGAAGGTCAGGCAAGCGGGATTCGCTGAGCTCGACGCAGAGGACGAGGACGAGGACGATGAGGAAGATGTCAAGCCTATAAGAATGCAGTTCGGCGGTGGTGTCAAGAAGAAGGCAGATGTGTGTACGGTTTACACTTGCGACAGAATCAAACTGACGAGATGCAGACATCGGTGCCTTTTGTCAAGGCTGAGAACTCGGAATCAGAATCCGAACACTCTTCAGACGATTACGATTCGGACGATCCTGCCGCAGATCTGATCCGACAGACCAAGCGCGAAATGGCCACGGAAAAGCGCGAATCCAAGAAGAAGCGGGGCGACGATTTAGCCAAGGCAACACCGAAGCGACAGAAGGACAATAGCGACCTACAGGGCTTGACATCGATATCAGGCAGTCGACGGTCCGGAGGTGGAGGCATGGCCAACATGGAATGCTATAAATGTGGGCAAAAGGGACATATTTCAGCCAACTGCTCGTCTACACCACGAGGATCTGCAGGCAGAGGCAAAGGCAAGGGCCGGAGGTAGCCGCGGCGACGTCTTCTCGATGTATTTGTACACTTGGTCCGGTTCAATGATACCCCATGAAGACTCCGTCTTCAGTTACACTTTGGTCATCCGACCTTGTCCCCGTCTTGGATGAGCATGTACTCGTCTCCGACCATCATCTTCATTTGGCTGTCGTCCATGAAGTTGTCGTGGTCGCCATTCAAGGCAGCGCCGTCTTTGTCGTACATGAACTTGGCCAGCGCCAGATAGTCGGGGAAGACAAAGGTGCAGATGGCATCGTAGTCCATGAGTTTGGCTTTGCCGTGCATAATGTCCTGTATGGCTTTTCGATCCCGCTCTAGATGGTATGTCTGTGGCGGTCTCAGCTTGGGTGCTACGTAGTGGACTGCGCTCGGGCTGTACAAGGCTGTAGCTGAGGATGCCATGGCGCTGCAGGATGGGAACTGCGCGCTGTGCGTGGTTGTTGTTGTAGTACTCGATAAAGTCGGCATCCGACATGCCATCTTTCTTCTTGATGTATATAGTCGCCTTGACAACCTTCCTGAAGCCAGTCGTGTTCGCGTAACCTGCTTGAAATGCCTTGGGTACCATGTTGTCGCGTAGACGAGGATCAACGGTGACGGGCACGGGCAGTAGCCAGCTCTAGTGTGTCTTATCGACAATGCAGGGCCCACCGTATCTGACGTTGGTCGCTACCACAACGCCGGACGCTGCTGCTTTCATTGTTTAGTGAGTAGAGCCGCAGTCAGCGCCTGCCACTTCCCCCGCCACAGTATACCGCTGTCCCTCACCGCCTCTTGTCTGCCACAGCTGCAGGCAATTGATTAGTCTCGGACAAGACTGAATCACCAGCGGACCCGCCTGTCCGACCATTGTCCGCTCCACCGCAAGTCTTGTGGATGCTGCCATCGCTAGGCGCACGACAGTCTCTCGGAAACCTGTCGCTGGTACCACGACACCGAACACTCGTTCCCAGGCTACCGGTTGTCTGGTCGCTTGCACAGTACACAGCATCGTCATCACACTACCCAGCCTCGACTCGGCTCGCCACCAGTCACCTCGGACCACGCCCCATACATAACACGCTTCGTTGCCAGGCTGCCGCCGTCCCGCTGCCTGCTACACATCGCGCCCTTGCGACTTCACCGAGAAGAAAGCAACCAGCTGACATGGCGGAAGAGCTGGGAAGAGAAGCCGGAGGAAGGTCGCGCATAGAGGACCTAGAGAGGCCACAACTCGACGATCGCTCTTACCGAATCATCACTCTACCAAATCAACTAGAGGTCCTATTGATACACGAGGCGGGGACGGACAAGGCTAGCGCGGCGCTGGATGTCAATGTGGGCAGCTTCAGCGATGCGCCGGACATGCCGGGTATCGCGCACGCGGTGGAACATCTGCTGTTTATGGGGACTGAGAAGTACCCAGAGGAGAACGCCTACAACCAATATCTGACACGCCACGGCGGATATTCGAATGCCTTCACAGCCTCTACCTCGACCAACTACTACTTCGAGCTTTCATACCCTTCCTCCACACCTGCGAGCAGCCAAACCGCATCGCCAGACGTGTCACAAACCAATCTGTCAGAGTCCAAGGATGAGTCGCCGCTATGGGGAGGGCTGGACCGCTTCGGTCAGTTCTTCATCAGCCCTCTGTTCTTGGAAGACACGGTCGATCGCGAGCTCAAGGCTGTCGACTCAGAGAATAAGAAGAACCTCCAAAATGATACCTGGCGGATGCATCAACTTAACAAGGCATTGGCCAATCCAGATCATCCCTACAACCATTTCTCGACCGGAAGCTACAAAACCCTCCATGACGAGCCTATAGCACGAGGCGTGAAGATTCGAGACGAGTTTATCAAGTTTCACTCAACGCACTACTCTGCAAATCGGATGAAGTTAGTCGTCCTAGGCCGAGAGAACCTTGACACACTGGAAACATGGGTGGAGGAGATCTTCGCTAAAGTCCCAAACAAGAACCTTGGACAAAATCGATGGGATATGCCCGTTTACACTGGGAATGAACTGTTGACACAGACGTTTGCCAGACCGGTCTTGGAATCACGGTCGTTAGAGCTTACATTCGCCTATCGCGATGAAGAGAAGTTTTACGAGTCGCATCCTTCAAGATACCTTAGTCACTTGCTCGGTCACGAAGGTCCCGGTAGCATCCTTGCACACATCAAAGCAAAGGGCTGGGCGAACGGACTTGGTGCTGGAGGCTCTACCTTGTGCCCTGGCTCGGGACTGTTCACTGTCAATATCAAATTGACCGAGGAGGGGCTCAAGAATTACAAAGAGGTTGCCAAGCTTGTCTTCCAATACATCGGATTGATGCGCGATCAGCCACCTCTCGAATGGGTAGTCGAGGAGCAAATGCGGATCAGTGAAGTGGAGTTCCGATTTAAGCAAAAGAGCCCACCTAGCCGCACTGCCAGTGGTCTCGCCGGCATCATGCAGAGGCCTTACGACCGCAAGATGCTTCTAAGTGGTCCAGCCATCATCAAGAAATTCGATGCCCAGCTGATCAGTGAGGCTATGTCCTACCTTCGACCAGACAACTTCAGGATGACGATCATTAGTCAAAATTTCCCAGGTGGATGGGATCAAAAGGAGAAGTGGTATGGAACAGAGCACAAGGTCGAAAAGATACCAGAAGACTTCCTTGCCGAGATCAAACAAGCATTCGAGAGCAAGAGCCGGCCGGCAGAGCTACACTTCCCGCACAAGAATGAGTTCATCCCGACCCGGCTCGAAGTAGAGAAGAAAGAGGTTGAACAGCCGTCCAAGGAGCCGAAGCTCATCCGCCACGACGACAACGTGCGAATCTGGTGGAAGAAGGATGATCAGTTCTGGGTACCCAAGGCTAACGTTCATATCTATTTCCGAACACCCATCACCAACGTCACAGCTCGTATCACGTTGTTGTGCACGCTCTATCGCGAGCTTGTAAATGACGCTTTGGTGGAGTATTCCTATGACGCCGACCTATCAGGTTTGGTCTACGACTTCACCAACCACATCAGTGGCCTTTCGATTACCGTCAGCGGCTACAACGATAAGTTGCACGTATTACTGGAGAAGGTCCTACTGCAAGTACGGGATCTTGAAGTATCAGAAGACCGTTTCAGGATTATTCACGACCGTATGCTACGTTCTCTACGCAACTGGGAGTACGGGCAGCCATTCCATCAGGTAGGGACTTACTCTCGGCAGTTCAAGAGTGAGAAGAGCGTAATGAACGACGAACTTCTTCCAGAGCTTGAGAACGTGACGGCTCAGGATGTACAGCAGTTCTTCCCGCAAATTCTGGCACAATGTCAAATCGAGGTTTTGGCTCATGGCAACCTATACAAGGAGGAAGCTCTGAAAATTACTGATCTGGTAGAACGTACCATCAAGCCAAGGAGACTGCCATCGAACCAGGTACCTACACGCCGGGGCCTCATCTGGCCCTCCGGCAGTAACTTCATCTACGAGAAACAACTCAAAGATCCCCAAAACGTCAATCACTGCATCGAATATAGCTTATATGCCGGTCACCGTTACGACAGCGTCACGCGCGCCAAACTCCTGCTCCTTGGGCAGATGACGGACGAGCCGTGTTTCAATCAACTTCGTACCATTGAGCAGCTTGGCTACGTCGTATTCTCTGGCCCTAGCTTCCACGACATTTGGTCAGGATATCGCATTCTCATCCAGAGTGAGAAAGATTGTCGTTACCTTGAAGGTCGCATCGAGAACTTCCTCAATACGTTCGAGCAGACACTAAACGGTATGAATGAGGAAGACTTCGAGAGTCATAAGCGTGCGATGATTAACAAGAGGCTCGCAAAACTGAAGAATCTGTCATCGGAGGACAACAGGTTCTGGAATCATATTTACAGTGATTCGTATGATTTCCTGCAAGGTATGCTGTCAACTACACCCATACACTAGTGTCTTTCTAACGAGTATACAGCCGATGTTGATGCCGCGACTATTGAGAAGCTTACCAAGAAGGACATGGTAGACTTCTACAGTCACTACATCTCGACTTCATCCTCTCAACGCTCCAAACTATCAGTACATCTACAAGCACAAGCCAAGGCCAAGGAGCCCTCGCTGGAGGAGAAGAAGACAGCCGCTGCCGCTGCGCTTAAAATCATTCTCGCCGAGCACAAGATCACAACCAACGACGAAGCTTTCGAGGCTCGCGTCAAGGACGCATCGTCCAATGCGGCTATCTCGGATGCAGTTTCCAGCCACCTCACTGACGACCTCAAGATCGAGAAGGAAGTCGCCAACAAGATCCTCGACGAAGCAAAGGCTGCATTGGGTGTAGCAGATTCAGGTCTGCCAGCCGCGCCTCAGGCCCTGGATGCGAGTGCAGATGTCAAGAGCGTAGTGGATGCTTCACAGCCTGTTCTTATCGAGGATGTGCATGCTTGGAAGGCGAGTATGCAAGTCAGCACCGGAGTGCGACCGGTGCGAAACCTGGAAGACTTCGTCGAGGTTGCTGAGAAGCTATGAGTGAAACTACCGCGCCGAGCATTCTGTTCAGCAATGCGTCGAAGAAGAACATGGAGATGCATTATGAGGATGTAGAAAAAAAGAGGAAGGGGCGCAGCTTCGTTCCCATCGTAGCGTAGTTTCCCTCGATCTATAAATCAATCATACGTATTGCATGTGTCTGATCTATGATTTTGGATCAGCCATCTGAACCTCGTCCCCTTGTCTCACTAGATCAAGTTCCCATCGCAAAGGTCTCCGCCTCGTCACTTTTCACAAAGCCGACAGGCGAACCGAAACACCACGCGCGTGGGAACCCAATACCCCATTTGGCCATCAAGCTCCGCAAGTCTCCTTCTGTACCTGGAATTACATTAATGAATATGCGATCGGTATCGCAGCGGGGTTCCGAATGCACTGCCCCTTCCTCTCCGCCTATCCTGAAAAACGCCACTTCTCTAGAAGCCGGAGTCTCACGCTCTACATCTTGTAGAGAATGTACGAGTGACTGACGTACGGAGT